GCCCAGGGGGACAGGCTGGGAGAGGGCAGGAGGACAGCCCCTCAGGCACAGACTCAGGGGACCAGCCCTCAGCCAGCCCTCTGTCAGCCCAGGCCCCCCAACAAGGGCCCCAAGCCCTGCTCCCTCAGGGGCACACAGGGCCACCCCCCCGCCATAGCTGATCCTTCCTCCTGCCCACGGCTCTTGGGGACACCTCTGGCCCCCTCACTCACCCTGCTCGCAGTGTGGCCCCGTCCAGCCCGGGCGGCAGGAGCAGCTGCCATGGGTGCTGTGGCACAGGGCTCCGTGTCTGCAGTCACACTGGAGCTCACAGCCCGCGCCAAACCGGTTCTGGGGGCAGCCTGGGGGCAGAAGACAGGTGCTGCCCAGAGCGCTGGCCAGGCCACGCCCTGCACAGGCTCCCATTCCTTCAACGGAGGCTTCCTGGATATCCTGTGCCAGCCTCACTGGCCAGGCACATGGTGCCAGAGGGACAGCAGACACCAGGCCTGGCTGAGGGCTGAAGGGACCAGTGAGCAAGGGGCCACGCCCTCCAGAGGCTGGGAGCACCTCCCAGGCAGTGGGCGGGCCAGGAAGGCTTCCTGGAGGTGGTGGCCAGCCTGGGAGCCAGGGCACACCCTCCAGGCCTGGGAAGGGACACTCCCTGTGGCCCTCCTGTTCAGAGCAGAACGCAGCCGAGGGGGCTGGTGCCCGGCCTGGAGGAGAAGCAGGGCCAGGCCACCTCCTGGCGGGAGCTGGCCCCTGGGTTCTGACCTCTGGCTGCACAGGATCCCAGGGAGCCCTGAGGCTGAGGAGTTGGGATGGGAGGCCCCCTCAATGAGGACTAAGGGGAGCCAGGCCTGGGGACTGGGCACATAGCGGAGAACACAAGCCACCGCACTGCCCCCCTTTCCCCTGTCTCACTGGCCTGTGCTCGGCTGCCTCCCTCTGGGAGCCCTGCGCCTGGGCCTGGAGACATGGCCGGGACCGGCTCCCCCTCACAGAAGGCGGCCAGCACTCTCCTGCCAGGGGGGCTCTGGCCAGACCTGAAGCCCCTACTGGCCACAGGGACACTGCTAAATCACTAGGTGGCCTGAGCCTCTAGCCAGTAGTGGGAGGCAGGGGCTGGGGTGGGACGGGGCCCTGTCCACCCAGCAGGGCAGTGTTGGCCGTACAGTAAGGGTGCTGCCCTCCGCCCACAGGGTCCTTTTGGGAGCCCATGGTGGCTTTGGGGACAGGCTGGGAGAGGGCAGGAGGACAGTCCCTCGGGCACAGTTGTCTGAGTTCACCTCACTGACCTCCCATGGCTAATAGAGGGACATCGGTGTGGTGCCCCTGTGCCACCCCCATGGACACTCACCGTGCTCACAGTGGGTGCCAGTCCTCCCCGGTGGGCAGATGCAAGTGCCGGTCACAGGGTCACAGGTGGCCCCCTGCCCGCATGCACACACATGGGCACAGCTGAGGCCAAAGTGGCCTGGTGGACAGGCTGCCAGGAAGGGGGTAGATGAGTTGGCAGACCCCAGCAGGGCCCTGCCTGGGGACTGCCCTTCTCTCCCTGTCACCGGCAGGCTCTGCTGGGAGCTGGGCTCTGCAGTGACTCACGCCACCCCTCCCACCCCAGCTCCCCCGGCCCAGACAGGGAGAGTCTCCATGACTCAGGAGAAAGGCCCCTCCTTGGCAGCAGTGACCACAGCTGCAGCTGGGGACAGTAGGATCCCACTGTTATCCTACAGAGAGGGTTGCTGGCCTCTCTGCCACACAGGTTAGCTCAGCCTGGACCAGCAAGAGCAGGTCAGAGAGGTGGTCAGGGTGGTGCCTGGGAGGCGGTCCTCCTGTGGGCTGGCTGGCAGGGCCTTGCTCCCCAGAGATGCGGAAGAGCCCCAGGCCTGTAGCTGGCCACTCACTCAGACTGCAGTCAGCTCCGAGGAACCCGGCAGGACAGTGGCAGGCCCCTGTGGCTGCGTCACAGGAGCCCCCGTTCCGACACCCACACACCTGTCCACAGCCTGGACCGTAGCGCCCAGGCGGGCATCCTGTAGGGACAGGAGCTACTGCCAGGGGCTGGGAGCTGGAGGCTGACCCCCAGCAGCCCTGAGCTCAGCATGGCAGCTCCCACATGCCCCCTCCAACCCCCTCAGGCAGAGGCCGTCCAGGGCGAGCAGGCCACCAGGCCTCAGGGGGCACTCACGTTTCTGGCAGCCAGTGCCGTGGTAGCCGGCCATGCACACGCAGGCCCCTGTGGCAGGGTGGCAGGCCTGGGTCTTGCCAGGACACTGGCACAGGTGCCTACAGTCCTCTCCAAAAGTGCCGGGCCAGCAGGCTGGGTGAGTGGGGTGGGGTGGGGTCAGTCCTGGCCAGCCTCAGGAATGGGCAGCCTGTCCAGGGGCGCCCCAAGCCGGGCAGCACCTACCCTGCTCACAGCCAGGCCCGGTGAAGCCAGGAGGACAGTGACACTCCCCAGTGACGTGGTGGCAGGAGGCCCCAGGCGGGCAGCGGCAGCTCTGGACACAGGCCTCTCCGAACCAGCCGTGTGGGCAGGCTGCGGGAAGGGCGTGGGCTGGGAAGGCTCCCGTCCAGGGCACGGCGGGGAGCCCTGAGGCCAGACTGGGCTGCAGGCAGCCACCCTGGGCAGGACCGTCCCTCCTGAGCCAGGGGCCCCGTGAGCCGGCCACATTGGGGGCTGCACTCACCCTCCTCACACCGTGAGCCCCTCCATCCTGGGGGGCAGCGGCAGGCCCCCGTGACATGGTGGCAGGCTCCCCGACGACAGGTGCAGCGCTCCTCACAGCGAGCCCCGAAGGTGCCCTCGGCACAGGCTGTGGGCAAGGAGACAGGTGGGAGGCGGAGCCCTCTGTGCCCCCTGCCCCAGGAGAGAAGGGTGGACAGGATGCAGGAGCCCGGGCTCGGCCACAGGGCCCAAGGCAGGGGGGGAAGCTACTGGACCAGCTGAGAGCACAGGCCAAGCAGGCCCACCCCAGCCCAGGGCAAAGTGGGGCTCCCCAGCCTGGTCAGCCTGGGCCCCCGGGTCCAGACCCCCCATGGGGCCTTGTAGCTCAGACAGTAGCCCCCCAACCTCCGTGGTGAGGACCACTCGTCCTCGTCTGGGTGAGGCTGAGAGGACCCTTGGCAGCCCAGCAGGCTCCCAGCTTCCCGCCCCACTCACGTCTCTGGCACTTGTCCCCAGTCCAGCCAGCAGGGCAGAGGCAGCGGCCCGTGTGCCTGTCACAGAGGCCTCCATTGAGGCAGCCGCAGCTGAGCCGACAGCCAGCTCCGTAGTGTCCGGGGAGGCATTCTGCAGCAGTGGGGCGAGGGTGAGGGTCCTGGCCCTGGGGCAGGGCTGTGTCCAAGACCAGGCTCCTACCTCCTTGGGGACCGACCTCAGGAGAGGCACCCAGGACCACCCCCAGGTGCTGCCCTCTGGCCTGGGAGTCCTCCTGGGCCAGCCAAGCTTACCGTTCTCACAGGCCAGGCCGGACCAGCCCTCTGCGCACGTGCAGTGGCCTGAGACGGGGTCACAGCTCCCTCCGTTCTGGCAGAGGCAGGCTTGTCGGCAGCCCTGGCCATACTGGCCAGCGGGACAGGCTGGTGTTGGGGAGAAGGAGCAGTCTACCGTCCAGCTAGCAGCACCCCAGCTCTGCAGGCTCCTGGCACCCTCACAAGCCCAAACAGACCGGGGTGGGGACCTCGACTGACCCCAGGCCCATCAGGACCCCCCAGTCTTGGGGGCACAACACTGAAGCGACCCCTTATTCTCTCCCATAGGGGCCAGGGGCTTCTGGGAGTGAACAGGCCCACCCCTGCCTGGATGCCAGCACCCCACACCGTGAGCCCGCAGGGCTTGACCAGAGACTGGACTCCTGGGCAGGGCTTACCCTGCAGGCAGGTGGGCCCCATCCAGCCGGGGGCACAGTGGCACTGCCCGTGGACGGGGTCACAGGAGGCCCCATTAAAGCAGGTGCAGGGCTGGCTGCAGTTAAGGCCGTAGGTGAGGGCCGGGCAAGCTGCCAGGGAGAGGGGCGGTCAGCGCTGAGGAGGGCCACCAGAGGGCGTCAGCAGGAGGCTCGGGCACTGGGCAGGTCTGGTAACCCCCCTCCCTCTGGCCTGGGACTCCCTCTCAGACTGGGTCCTCAAGAGCGAGTGACAGCCTGCCTGCAGGGAACAACCAGGGTGGGGACCCGGTGAGCCTCCTGCAGGCTGCGCAGGGCCTCACGCACTCTGGGTGCAGCGGGGTCCCTGGCGGCCTGGCGGGCAGAGGCAGGAGCCGTTCACGTGGTCGCAGGCGGCCCCCGCGGAGCAGTTGCAGGCGCCACGACAGTCCAACCCAAAGAAGCCAGCTGGGCAGGCTGCAGACAGAGGCAGGGTGGTGCGGGCCCAGAGGTCAGGGGACGCGCTCTGCCCTGCCCTGGAGACTCCTTGGGCCAGCAGCCAGAGCCCAGCTCACCTCGCTCACAGAAGCTTCCCCTCCAGCCTGCTGGGCAGGTGCAGGCCCCGCTGACGTGGTCACAGGCTGCCCCGTGCTCACACTGGCACTGGTGCCCACAGCCTGGTCCAAAGTATCCTGGGGGACACCCTGAGACACCCAGCCCCAGCCCACTGTCAGCCAGGGGGCCAAGGGCCTGACCAGGCCCCCAGAAGTGGCAGCAGGGCCGGTTCCCAGGGAAGCCCTCCCGACAGTCTCCCTCACGTGGTTCCTCCCCACCCCCCCCCAGGGATGGTGAGATACCCAGAGGTCACCTTCAGACCTGGGCCACCCCTAGGACAACCCGCCCAGCTCCCTGGGCCCTCCCACCTGGGAAACACACAGTGCCAAGCGCCACCGCCCAGGCGCCAGGTGTCCTGTGCAGGCCCTGCTTGGGTCTTCTGCCTGACCTGGGCAGGTGGGGCTGGGCATGCTCGGTGGGGGCAGGCAGGCAGGCACTGTGTGCATATGCCAATGTGTGCCCCTCCCAGCATGCCCGTGCACCGCACACCCGTGCACACTCCGGGGCAGGGCCAGGAGCCCAGGACTCACGCTGCTCACACCGTGGCCCCACGTAGCCAGCCTCACACAGGCACAGGCCGCTGATGGCATCGCAGCTCCCGTGGCCTGCGGTGCAGTCGCAGGGGTAGCCGCAGTCGGGCCCCCAGTGTCCACTGTCACAGGCTGTAACAGAGCCCAAGATTGCCCTGCGCAGGCCCCGTGGAGTCCACAGGCTCTGCAGCCAGGTGGGGGCCCAGGAGCAGGAAGCGGAGGGACAACTGGGAGCACAGGCAGGGTCTCCGTACCTCTCTGACAATGCAGGCCAGTCCAGCCAGGGGCACAGCTGCAGCGCCCAGTAGCCGGGTGGCAGTGCCCATCGTTGCCACAGGAGCACCTCGTCTGGCAGCCGGGTCCAAACCAGCCTGCCGGGCAAGCTGTGGGCAGTGAAGGAGGGTGAGGGGGTGGCCAGCACGCCCACCAGGCCACCGCCCGGGGCTGAGGTCAGGTGCCAGCCACTCACCATCCTGACAGCGGCTGCCCACGAAGCCGGGGAGGCACAGGCAGGCTCCCGTCGCGGGGTCACAGCGGGCACCGTGCTCACACACAGGGCACATCTCCTGGCAGCCGAGCCCCCAGTGGCCCTCAGGACAATCTAGTGCCCCCAGCATCAGTCAGTCTCCCGCCCTGCCCTGGCTGCAGGTCAGCGTGTGCCTGGCACCACACTGACCCCCTGGAGCAGGCCAGGAGGGGAAGCAGGCTTCCCATCTGAGCTGCCGGGAGAGGAGGGGCTGCGTCCTCAGAGCCCTGGGCACCTCCTGGGGCTGCAGGGCACCACCCACAGCAGTGAAGCCCCAGTTCCAGGGACGGCTCAACAGACAAAGAGGGCAGCCAGAGGGAGAGGCCAGATCTCCACGCAGTGTGCTGCCTGTCTGGGGGGACACTGCAGGCCCCAGGCTCCCTGCCCACACCAGGCTCAGTCCAGCACAGTTCCTGAAGCTTCTGTCGAGGGCCTGGGATCTGTATGGCCTGTGCCAGGGTCCCCAAAGATGGCCCAGGGGTCTTCAAGTAGGGTCCAGCAGGGATCTTTGAACACAGCCCCCAGCTGACCCCCACCTGAACTCCTGCAGCCCAGGAAGGAGTGGTCTGAGGTGCTGCCGCCACTCACCTGCCCCACAGTCCTCTCCGGTCCGGCCTGGTGGACACAGGCACTGCCCTGTGACCCGGTGGCAAGAGGCACCCCCACAGGAGCAGGAGCCTGAGCAGTTCACACCAAATGTCCCCTCTGGGCACTCTGCAGGAGGGACAGTAAGGGCCTCAGCCACCCCATGAGAGGCTGCCCAGCCAGGCAGACTTCCCTGCCCTCTGAGGCTCCGGGCATCAATACCCCCTGCCCGGGGCCCAGACACCTGCTCCAGCTCCAGCAGAGGCTGCTGGACCCTGGGAGCCGGGCCCAGGAGCAGTCCTTTACCTTGGGGGTAAAGGACTGGGGCAGGTCAGGTGGAGGGCAGCAGGAGGGCAAGGTGCCTGTCAGTGGAAGCCACAGCCGTCAGGCCCAGACAGTGCCCGGGGAAGCGTGGCAACCTTGCGTTCCTCCTCCCCCATGGAGACCTGCCCAGGGTGTGCCAGTCCCGTCTCCCCACCCCCCAGCCAGCTGGGGACACCCCCACGGCCTCAGCCCCAGGGGCTGGGGGAGGGTTTGCATCCACCTGGTGACCCGGGTGGGAAAGAACAGTGGCCAGAATGCTCTGCACACTGAGAGTGGGCCCGAAGGCCTCGGGTCCCCCACCCCACCACTCAGTAGGAGCAGAGAGCAGCAACGCAGAGCCCCTATACCCTGGACAGGACCCTGCAAGGCCCCCAGCAGGGTCTCAGGAGATGCGTGGGACCCTGGAGCCCAACTCTGCCCAGGGAGGCCTGCATGGCTGCTCCCCACACCTGCCCTGCCCTCGGGGCCCAAGTCCAGCCTCCTGGCCCAGGAGGACAGTGCCTGAGTCTGGGGTGGGAAGTCCGGGCGGGGGGAGGCATCCCACTGCCCTGGAGAGCCAGCGGCCCTGATGAGGTGGACTGCAGGCCAAGGCACAAGTGTGCACCCAGCATCTGGGCACCCTCTAGAGGACCGGGTGCACGAGGCAAGCACCAGGGGTAGCACACACCTGGACCAGAGGAGAGGGCCCAGTGCTACCGGGGAAGCAGCCTCCCCAGCTCCTACGGGCAGACGTGGTGGACGGCAAGTTTCCAGGCCCACAGAGGGAACGCCAACTCTACAAAAGTGTGTGTCCATTCCCGTGGCCATCCTGAGGCCACTGCAGGCTTTTAAATTTAAAAAGTTAAAAAAAGAAAGTGGTGGGAGATAGGGAGGGCCAGAAGGGCCTCTTAGCAGATGGGCCAGCAGGGTGGGTGGACAGGCCTCCTCACTGGGCCCTGGCAGGCAGTGAGTCTAGACGGGGTGGGTACAAGGGATGGCAGGCCGCAAGGGAGTGTGCCCATGCACATGCCTGCTCGTCCGGCGTGTGTGTGTGTGTGTGTGTGCGCGCATGTCAGGTTGTCTGGAGGACCTCAGTCCTTCAGCATGACCGAGCTCCCGTGGCAATTGCAATCAGGTGGGGAAATGGACACTCAGCTGCTGACTGTGGCCTGAGACCACAGAGTTCCTGTGAGTCCACTCAGGTCTGGGGACTCCAGGCTGGGCTCTGAGCCTGTGCTGTCCCTCCTGTACCAACAGGACCAAAGAGCCTTGGACAGCGTCTTTGCCTCAGAGGAACTGGCCTGGGTCAGATGGAGACATTGAGCCTCAGGTCACCTGGCCCAGGTGGCTGAGGGTCCTTAAGTCAATATGGTGCCCTCTCAAGGCATGCTGTCCAGGCCAGGGTGCTGGACAGCCAGACCCCCAGGGACACCTGAGAATCGGCGTCACGATCCATATCCCAGGTGGCCATTGTGACCTCCTCTTCTAGCTGCCACATAATGTGGGGCCCCCAGGCTCAGTGTTCCTCACGTGCCTGGGCCACAAGACCCACAGGGAGGGGCCTCCATCACTGCCTCCGTGGCCCCTCTGGGAGAAGGCCCTTGGAGACCCCCCAGGACAGCTGCCACCTCTGCTCCTGGTGGCTGCTCACACTCGAGCCTGCTGCCCCGGGCTCCCGTGCACGGCGCTCCCCGTCCCGGTACAAGGGAGGAGTGCCCGGGTGCTTCCTCAGAGGCACTGACCCTTCCTCTGAGCCAGACCTGGGCAGACAGGCAGCTGCCCCGAGCAGCTCCTGAGACACAGAGCAGTGGCCTGCCACTGCCTGATGAGGAAGGGTAAAGGTGCCGCAGCCGGCCATCCTCCAGCTGAGCAGCACTTCTGGGAGTCAGCTCTGCAAGGGCCAGGTGGCCTCCAGCACTGGCTCCCCTGGGGCCAGCCTCACCTTGACCACAGTCCTGCCCCCGGTAGCCAGCAGGACACTGCTCCCGACACTCGCCGCTCACAGGATCACAGGCCACGCCTGGGGGACAGGTGCACGTACGCTGGCATCCTGGCCCGAAGAAGCCTGGCTCGCACTCTGCAGGGTGAGGGGCACCAGAGGGGTGGATGGGTTCGGCC